ATATGTTGATTAGATTAGGAGACAAAAAAAGATTACAATTGACGCGAGACAACAACGGGACAACCAGACACCGCTTTAATGATCCAGCACCAGCACCAGGGGACGCACTAACTGCAGCTCCGTGCGCAGTTAATTTGGACAAACCTCGAAAGTAGTAGGAAGTCAATTGGGTTTCAATGTTTCTCCAGACTGACGAAAACATTTAGGCGCTTCAATTTAGATTATCTTTTATTGCTCGTTAACCTAAGGCACAGGATGATGATGCTTATTTACAGTTAAATATGTATGTCACCAGGAAAGTGCCGGAACACTTGATAATACATATAATGTATATATGTAGTGTAGCTGTTTTTTTCCTACGAGCAGCTGTCACATTCGAAGCTTCAGAAGTTCGATACCACAACTATCGATAAGTTATAGCAAAAGGCAATATAGTGATGAAATTTCAACCGATTACTTTTTAAATTGGCGCGTTTAATTAAACATATGATAAATTAAGGAAATTTTGGAGGAAAACCTACATATAATATCGATCGAGTTATTCTTTTGAAACAGACTTTGAATTCTCAGTATTGTATTTCTCTTTACGTATTGTAATTGTACGTAATTTATCCTAAAGAAGCAAAACTTATCTCCTTCGCTAAACAAGCTGTGTTTCTTCAATCAGTTTCCCCAGCTACTAAGCATATTTGTGTTACTATATTCAATAACAAGCTGGGAATGTCTGATGCTGCTGAGATAAATTCAACGCAGTCGCATACCCAATTGATTGAAGTGCAGGTGCATCATGTGGGTGTTACAGCCAAATTGCAATCACCTTTAAAGAAGCTACTGCCCCAGCTGAGCAGTTCAACGGATACGGAAATCTTCCAGCAACCGAAATCTAAGTACAATATGTTTGAAAACGAGGGGCAAGGCGACACCACAGCAACGAACACAACTGGGCTATCGAGTCCGCCATGTGTGCTCTACGAAATGCACGCGGAGCCAGAGAAACGTGTCTCCAAGCCGAATCGCATTGAGTTCCAACGCTACTCGAGGAGCAAGTGCACCCGCATGACGCTGCCGCCGCGCAAACGTGCGACTAGACCACAACCATTTGGGTCCAAAGCAAAGGAAACGCAGGAGTCGAAACATCATCATTCGAAGCAGCTGTGTCAGGAGAATCAACCTGGTTTTCTGGCGCGCCTAATGGCCTCGCTGGACAATATGTGCAAGTGCCAGCCTCAGCATGCTCACAGCATCATCGACGATCTGCCCTCGCCGAAGTGGAACAAAAAGGCCGCAGCCCGACACACTTGCATCGGCATCTATCCCTTTGAGCACGGCTGCGCCGACTACTTGAGCACCACGGACACACATCCCAAGATTAATTCAATTGTCCTGGCAGATCGAGCCACGACATATGCCACACACTTTTGGGCTGAGTTCTTTGGACTGCTGCACATTGCCGTCGCCTTCGTGGTGTCCTTTCTGCTGCAATCTTATCGATTCCTGCTCTACTCTCTGGTCAACACTCTGATTGTGGGTCTCCTTCACACGACCTCCGATTATTTGGTCAAGCCCTTCTTGACGGTGATCTTCAATGGTTTCCTCCAGCCGCCGATGATATTTTTGTATAATGTCATGTGCTCGCTGCGCGATATTCTAGACCCACTCGCCGAGACATTGGCTCACTTTACCAAGCCGTTGGCCACGCTGGGCTCCAGCCTGAGGCTGATCCATGTCAACTATCGCAATGTGCGTCACTTTGCCAAGGATGTGTGAAGGCGCTTCTTCATCTGGTTTTAATTATGTTTGTGTTATTAAATTGTTCTCAAAGAAGTTTAGCTGTTACTTTAAATTTGCTCTCTGCTGTTTCATTCGACAACGTTCTGCTTGGCATTGCCCACTGTTTCATTTCACTTGTTTCCTGCTGCGGTAGGAGGAGCCTGTGCTGTCAACCCTCAAGCAGCTTGCTCTCCCAGCTGTCGCTGCTCTCGCACCCAGCAACAGGATTATATTGGGCATACCTTGTTCCGCTGCTGCGACACAATCTTACGCACATAGATATATAGAAATCGGATCGGGTTACATTGTTTGCTTCGCTTGTTCATGGAACTGTGCAACCATAACGACCTGGTCGC